CTAGAATCAGAAATCTTGAAATTCAGTCTATTTGTTGCCATAGCAACCAGAATTTTCAACATAGGAAGATAAGAAAAGAATGTGCATAATTTCTATACTGCCATCTACCCATATGTCAAGTTTCATAAACATATTTTCAGTACTTTTTGTGTTATCACTGGATCCAGGTTATGTGTAAAATCTGCCATAATTTCAGTCTATTTGTTGCCATAGCAACCAGAATTTTCAACATAGGAAGGAAGGAAAAAGACGTGCATAATCTCCATACTGCCATCTATCCATATATCAAGTTTCATAAAAATATTTTCAGTACTTTTTGCGTTATCGCGGGATCCAGGTTATGTGTAAAATTTGCCATATTTTCAGTCTATTTGTTGCCATAGCAACCAGAATTTTTAACATAGGAAGAAAAGAAAAAGACGTGCATAATCTCCATACTGCCATCTATCCATATATCAAGTTTCATTAAAATATTTTCAGTACTTTTTGCGTTATCGCGGGATCCAGTTTTGTGGACGGACTGACGGACAGACAGACGGACGGACTGACGGACAGACAGACGGACAGAGGGTAAACCTAAAGTCCCCTCCGGTAAACCGGTAGGGGACTAATAAGACTAGTATAGCAATACCTCTACTTTTTTTTTCAAAAAAAAAAAAGTCAAGGTAAGAATTGCTCTTTAAAAATTGAATTTAGATATAGATATGTTTTGTTTTTTTTTAAATTATTTTGCTAGGGCAATTAATGCATAATTATTTTTAAGTATTTAAACCTGTTAGTCAATCTCATGATGATATATTTTCAAATGTAATGGCAATATTTTTACTCCTGAAGTTTTGTCAATTAAAGTAACTCACCGGTATTACACTTCCTATGTTGTCATCTGTCACAAGCATCACAAGTGACTGCCTCCTGCCGTTTCCTCACAACACTTCCACAGTCTATACAGTAATCAGTCATTTCAATAACCAACAAATAACTTGAAGGCCAATTTGACTAGTTTTGATGCCCATTCTGCTAGTTTTGGGGCCAATTTGACTAGTTTTGGAATCGATTTGACTAGTTTTGGGGCCGATTTGACTTTTAAAAATTGTTGTGTGGCCGATTTGACTAATTTTGAGGCCGATTTGACTGATTTTGAGCCGATTTGACTTGGGGCCGATCTGACTTTGGGCGGATTTAACTAGTTTGCATGAGATTAGATACAATGTAGTATAGTACTCCCCGCAGGTACCGCGTCCTTGCCCATTCCGATGTAATTAGAAAATTTGTTTCTTTACACATTGAATGCCACCAAATACTGTTTCCATCTAATTTATTCATTAAAGTGAAAGTGGAAGTGCTGATTTTTGTGAATTTGGATAGAATTTTTTTCATTTCAAATAAATTCTGTCATTGATAGGAAAATCCAAAGCTGCCGGTGTGTGTTAAAAATACTTCTTTATTTTACCCCATATTTAACATTTAAACTTATAATTTCATGTTCCGACAAGTGAAGGTCGTCTGCTGAAACTCTAGTGACATCATATTCTGTTACAAAAAATTATACTGAATTAAAAAAGGGCCATCAATTAACATAAAACGGTACCATAGTGATATCCATTTAAGCTCCCATTCAAAACATGGCTGACTGACTATAGATGTTTCTAATTTAAATCATGGAGTTATTTTATCAATGACATGTGTATTTTAATGTCAAGATGCGACAACAAAACACAATTCAATAAAATAGTAAATACAAGTTCTTTTTATTTGCACAATTTGCTGGAAATAATAAGAACACTGGTACCATAGGGGACTAGAGTTGGGTACCGCCAGAAAGAAAATACCACGGTATACCACGGTTTTTTCCTAAAAACCACGGTATAAACCGCGGTATACCACGGATTTTCATTGTATGCTATAGGTTAATTTTTATCCCTAAAATAAGTATCAAGGTAGGCTGGCATAGAATTTCAAATATTAAATTTAAGCAGATCTATAAAATACAGATTAATCAAAGCATCATATCAGGTACTTTCGCATGTTGACAATCATAAATTAATTGGGTCATGGATCAGTTCTTGTTGTTTTTTTAAATTACATATTGGTCTCTTTCAACATTTAACAACTGTTATATAAATTGCATAGTTAAAATGGAAAAATAAAATGTTTTTATTGCTTATTGATTAATAAAATAATAGGTCAAATGCACGTTAGCCGATGACAAATATTTATTTGTCGGTTAATTTTATAACAGAGTCCCAGCTGCTATTGGCAAGGGCTAAGTATTTAATTAATCTGTGTCAAAAACCAAAACAAACATGTACCCCAAAAGCAAATTAAAATTATCACATAGAAAACAGCTGAACATGTTACTGCTTAATTAATATTCATTAGTTGAACGAACATTACTTTTAATCCAGTTTCTACGCCGTTCTATAATTAGTTAATTGCCATGCGCATTGACGTAAGGAAAACCCCTAGCCTGATTGGTCGCTATTTATATAAATACTTAAAATAGTAACACCCTAATTTTATGCAAGGAATGCCCTCATGAATTATCAATCTTTACGATTAGTTTTCGTATCAAATAAGCGATATTTGGACAAGTAAATGTAAGTCGACAATTCTTGCTTCTTCAACTGAAATCATGCAAGTCGGCAATTCTGGCTTACATGCGGTAATCGATAAAGCTTTCAATTTTCGCTAAAACTATCGAAGAATGATAATAGTCGGCGAAAGATGTTTGCAAAAAAGGTTAACTCAAAGAAACATTAACATATACAACAGAAAAAGGTTTTTTAATTTAGTACATTTTACGGATCTGTAATTGCTTTAAATTAGAGCTAAAAGTAACGGTTTTCCAGGTGTGTACCGAGGTACGTACCGCAGATGTCTCGGACCGTGGTTAACCGGTATACCGGTTAAACCGCGCACCTCTATAGGGGACCATCCTATGTATCCTGTTTTCTCGTATTATAGTGGGGCTAAGGCCTAAACTTGGTTGGATAATTTTTATTAAACATTTTGGTACAGTATTTATTAGTCTGATACACAGAAAAATGCCCTTTTAAGACAATATAAATGAAGAAAGATCGTAACCGAAAGCAAAACTTAAGTTATTTCCGCTTGTATATGCTGACCTTCACCCTTTATGTGAAACAGGTGCTTTCTCATATTATCGTGGAATTTGATTGGTTGTTAAGGCTGGTCGCTCTGTGATGATTTTATTCTACACACCAGTTCAAATCATTAGTGCAACTCCTAATTAAGTGTTAAATAGCTTAGCTTTGTAATTTTTTGTGTTTTAATAAAAGCTTGGTAGGCCATTATCAAACTTTTAGGATCATATCGACGCCTTTTTGGTACCACATGATTTGGTTTGTTCTAAAAATAGTTTGAACTCAATTATGTGTTGTTGTTTACATTATCCCTCTAAAATATTTTATGTTTATGTTTACTTATTGGTTATATAAGCATTTAGCAATGAATACTACAGTTTTTCATTGTACTGTAGTCATATGTTTTATTGTTTTGTTGTCAAAACTAAAAATTGATATTAAGGATAAATAATGTTTCATTATTGGTTTTTAATTGGAGTTCATATGATTTGTATATTATCTATTTGTGGAACAAATGCTTTGAGCTGTATTGTACATATAGTAGTGTGAAACCGTCATTTAAAGCGCCTTGTGTTAGAGACCTGATACAGGTTTCTGCAACATGGGAAAAACTTAAAAATTGATGATCTTGGAGAAAAAACTGATTAATTTAATGTTTTCCTCTGGACTTTGCAATAATTTCCACAGTTATTTTGTTTTTTTATCTGTTTTTGTCACATTTCTTTCGTTATTTTTGCCAGAGACAAAACAGCTCTGCTAAATAGACATGTTTTCGGATATCGACAGAAGTCGCGAGTGTCGCTTCCATCTGTTTTAATAATTCCACGAAAATACGAGAAACCACGATAATACGAGAAACAGGGATACAATAATATAGGAGTATACCTGATCTGCAGATATCTCTTATTTTTCATTTATAATACATTAGATGGTCTTGATAACATGCAAGTAATCAGAAAAAAATTAATGTTTTTTTTTTTTAGTTGGCCAAGTTGACCCGTGCCGAGCTGGTATAGGGCCGAGTTGTCTTAACCCGGTAGATCTAGTCAAGAGGGGGCTCTGTAGGCTACGTCAACCCATTTATATCAACTAAAGTGAATTACGGTTACACTACCATACCTTACCACACAACTAAGAAAAAATCGATCTTTTTAAAAAATAAAATGGGGAGAAACTGTCTGCAAAATATTGCACAAATACAGACAGTTCTCTACAGTGCCAGTGGGGACACAGGCACTAGACACAATTATTTTACCCATATACCAGGGTCTATTCTAGGATTCGAAAAACAAGGGGGGATTCTTATCGAAAATTGAGAATTTATTACATCTTGTTTGTCTTTTTCCTTCTTTCTCTATGTAAATTTTTTTCCCTGCTTCTGAAAAAAATAGGAGTGAATTCTCAAAAATAGGGGTGAATCCCCCTCCTAGAATAAACACTGATATACGTTCATTATACTATATATAAAGAATATTCTTTATATATAATATTATGAGCGTGTATGGGTAAAATAATTGTGTCTAGTGCCTGTGAGTGGGGAGGTCACGAGGGGTCCCTGTGTGTCCAGTAACACTTTCCGCGTATTTGTTCTGTTCGCTTTTCGGTATAATTTCTAACAAAATTGACAATAATAGAATTAAACATACAGGGTATCTTAAGCTTATTTATGGGTCTTTACTTACACGAAAAGAGAGTTGGTTTGTTTCTCGTGTTGAAAGATGATGTCTTCCAATTTTTGAAGGGAGTTTGAACCAGAAAAATGGTATTTTTTCTGGACTATTTCCCGCGCCTCTGTTTTGGAAGCCTCCATCTTGTTTTTCTGTGATGTCATAAGCATGTGACTTCGAAACTCCGCCTCCTCCAGGAAAGGGATGTCAGAAAGTGATTACCTAATATTAGGTACACTTATTGTCACACGGTGTTTCATTATACTGCAAGTTACACACAAGAACGCAAATATGGTTGCACCAACGCTTAGTTTCGAAAATGAAGTTTTTGCGAAATTTGCTTTTTATGCCGGAGTAGTTTTGTTAAAGACAGTTATTATGAGTGGATGGACTGCGAGATATCGTCTGCCAAGAGGGGTAAATGTTTTCTTATTTCTCAGTTTTCAACTTTGCATGTTTATATTATCTTGTTGTTCAAGCCAGCTATTGTTTCCTTTTCTGGTATGTTAAGCTGAGGATGGCCAGTGTCATGGCTAGAATTATAACTCATACTTTATTTCTTTTTCTATCTTTAATTCATTTTAAGACAATGAATTTTTCGGGTGAGGAAGCTATCCAGCTAGCTTACGGAACGTCGGTGGTTCTACTCAGGTGAGCGTTCGTGCCTGAAATAATGTACAGGAGGGCACCTGAGGTCTTCCTCTACCAGTAAAGCTGGAACGTCGCCATATGACCTATACTGTGTCGGTGTGACGTAAAACCCAAAACAAACAAACAAAAAAGACAATGAATTTAAAAAACAGTTATAATCTACATCATACTGCTTAACAATCAATTCTGATTATGACTAGCAGGCTATAAGCTATAGTTTAAACGATTGAGCGGGGATTTTGAGAGACAATGATAACTAAATGTTACCATTCTAGAATCATAAAAAACTAGCCATCATAATTATCCCTGACACAACAGTTACTTCATTTAAGATACATGGAAGATATCAATAAATAAGGAAGTTTAAAACTTGCATTTTCTCTCCCTTAATATTCATATATTTAATCTGATAAAGCTGTAGCTAAAATAAAGTAAACATATAACCTTTATACTTAGTTAGCATGTTCATACTTGAAAACCACCTAAACATTTTCCTAATCTTGTTCACGTGACATTTATTAGTGTCATTAAATTTCTTTTTTTTTCAGAACACAATACAAATACAAACCCTTAAAAAAGGAAGTTTGCTCGCCAATCTTTGATGTACTTAGTTGCATAATTTATTCATTCGATATTTTCCATATGTACATCTACTTATACATATTTTTAAATTGTTAAAGACCCTCAATGCACCACAAAAAGCTACTCATATGTCATTTACTTGAACCATGTTTTTCTTCTGTTGCTTTTTGGTAATTAGTAAATTTAAAGTGGTTTAGTATTTTTTATTGTATGAAAGTCAAAATTCTATTTGTTTAGATTTTGCTACAATTGACATTACGCCGCCTGTCAATCAAGCTGACAGGGGTCTTACAGATAAGCAAATCGGCGATCGTTATCAGTTTCACGCTAAGATGTCTGCAAAATCCGCCATTTTCCTTAGACAAACTACTAGTATTTGTAGAAGACAGTGGTGCAGCAGTATTTATACTGAAATTATTTTGATTTTTGGTCAATCTAAAGCTATTTAATCGGTATATCAAAGTTACCAACTATCCTGACATATAAAATATTATTATAAGGTCTGATATGACATTTTTGTTCGTTCTTAACATAGTGTCAGTAAAATGCTGCAGTAGAAAAATAAAATGCGAGAATATGCTATGAATATTTTATGTGAAATTATCCTACCTAAATATTTCTATCAAAGCTCAATGCATTAAGATTAAATATTTCGATACATCTACTTCAGTAACATCATACCTAATCACGGTTTTATTTTAAAACCAAGGTCTCACCGTCTGGTGTATGCGAAACTTATTTTGAAGTGAATAATATTGCGTTTTATCACGAAACATATCTAATGTACACATATACATATAATCATATATCATACTACAAGGTTACGCAAGGGCAATTTTCTCATTCAATTTTAACAATTTATGCACAAATGCATTATATATAAATGATTTCGCACATAAAACCCTAAAAACATTTGTAAATGTTACTGTGTTTTAATATAATTTTACTATTTATATGTTCCGCTACTTAAATTTTAACTATCTTTGAATTTGTAAACTAAAATGATATTTTGTCAGTAATATCTTCCTCGAATTCAACGAGAAATATAACAAGATCTTTGCCAAACGCTTTATTCACAATTAATGCATGAATGAAGTTATTTGTTACTTTTTTAATACCATTATACATTGAACTATTCAGGAAAAGTATTAAACTTTTATACCAAATTATATAAGGAAAATTCATTAGTAACTTATTAGTGGCACAATAGTTTCCTGTAAACGTCGGTACCGTGTTTTGTCTAAGGTTCTGAATGACCGGGTCACGTGAATCAGTGGGCGGAGCAATCTCTTCTCTGGCGTAATGTCAATTTTTACAAATTATTTCATATTTAGGGCTACTTAATGTTCGAAGCATCTAACATACTAAAGCCATATTTTACATGTTATAAAATTCATGTTTGACCCTAAAATAAAGAAAGTCGTTTCTGAGGCATAATGTGCCTTTAATATTGTAATATTTGTGATATAATAAGTAGGAATAAATTTCTGTTACTTCCTTGAAGACTTGTACATTACTCTAGGATAGAATTGTTTACATTACTGTAGGTATTTATCTCCTCTGAAGATTATGTGGGAAGATCCGGACAAACAATGAAAATTGACGAAGATGTTGAAAGAACAAGAAGGTTAGCATTGTCTATTTTATATGAAATAATAAGAATACTGATTTATGAACACTCATTTTGTATATACAGAACAAAAAATAGACTGTGTTTTCTTTTATATAGAAATCAATATTTTGATATCAAATGTATATTGAAAGTTTATGGAGATGTATTAGCAAATTGAAAACTTGTAACTGTTACAGAATTGTCATGTGCCACTCATATTTGTACATATATACACATAAATCGCAATACTTTATGAAGGGTTCCAGGATATATAGTTACTGTATGTAGTATACGTGATTACACTATGATACTTGATTACAATATGATATTGAAGTTTTATCACGCCCGTTTAACTCACGAGTGAAAAATGTCCATCGGTAAAAATGTTGTGAGCAACTTCCGTTCCTCGTTGTGAGCACCCATCTAGGACGTGTGACACGATAAACAAGGTGAGTTTTTCATAATTTTTAAAGATTACAGACATTTATGTAAAAATATCGGAATGCAGTTAGCTAGCGATGTGTTTTCCGATTATGCACATGTAAAGATATTGGCTGTTGGTCGACAATTTGATGGAAATACCGTGCGACGCAGTCACTTGGGGTAGCTGGAAAACTGGAGTCAACTTCTCTCCGGACCAAATTTAACATTGAAAAACGTCGATTCTGGTGACGTTTTGTGCATTCTAACCTAAAACAGATGCCCACAAGTCTTCAGCGTAAATTATTACACGAAAGTCTTCATAGAAACGAAGATATACCCTTTTTTGCTTTAATCCTCGTTGTGAGCACCATAACCTCGTTGTGAGCAAGACAAGCGCAGTGCGTGTCTGGTTTTAATATGTACAATTCAAGTGGGGAGAATACAATTTTCAGTCTACCAAAAGCAATCAAAACGTTTTTGCACAATAGTTTCTCTTTGCAATAGTTCTTCTTTGTCTACATAACTTGGCCAGTCTAACATGAATAAAACTCAGGATAAATACATGCATGTTTATATTACACAGACTGCCCTCTATGTTAAAGGTACTCCACTGAGGTACGGCCGAATGTCACAAAAAAAAGTAAAATTTCACGAACCGATAATTTTTTGTTACCTGCGTGTTAGGGACATTCAAACAGAATCAGTGATACATTGATATGTGTTCTTTGGATTGGCAAGTCGTTTGAAATACATATTTTCTCCAATTTTTGGGAAAAGCGTTTAAACACCTTTCAGCTTGCAAATCTGAATAAAAACAACGGTCACGTGATGATTATCGGGATGACTAAAAAGCGAAACGGAGAATTTTTTGTGTATCGGCAGCAACGAAAGTGCGAAAGTGGAATATACCAACAATCCATAAATTTTAAAGCAAATTATGGGTTTGTTTGTTAAATTTCTTGTTGTTCACATATGTTCTTGTGAGAAAAATCTTTCAAAAGCAATTTCAATATATTTAAAGCATTACATTGTTGTAATCATGTTTTTTTCTCCATTACAATGATGAATTTAGCTAAACGTACGGAGTTGAAAACTGACATAGTATAACACAAATTTTACCAATATTCTATGTTTATTTGAGGGCTTTCGTGTAATTGTTAAATAGTATGTATTAACTTTGTAATGGTTAAAATATCATGATATCTAGGCTTAGAAAATTTACTTTGTCAATCAGTGTAATGGGTCCTATTTCAAAGGTCACTTTGGTTTATCTGACACCCGTTCAGGAAAAAAAAACTTGTAATACCTTTTATACAACGAACATGAACTTGAGTATTGTAAGCATAAAAAATCACACGCACACACAGAATGTTATTCCAGATATTTCTCTTTAACTCTGATCAAAGCACTGAAAGCACAGGCTAAATAGAGAATGAATCCAGTCTCATTATAGGACATTTAGGCTTCAACTTTATTAGTTAATAATTCTTATGTATGTCTAGTGCATAAAATTAAAATTCTATAAGAAAAAAAAATCGATCTTCTTTGCTAGATAGATCTGAAATTTAATATTTATCATTTTACATACATATTTGCATATTTATCCGCATTGGATGTAAACTTTGTTGATGAGATGATTACTACGTTTTGATCTAGACATTCAAAACTATAGGTAATTGAAACCTGTTTCATGCACATGGTAAACATTATCAAGAAGGTCGGAAAAGAGTTACAATCTGGCTCTATTAATATTATTATTATCATTATTGATTTAGCAGATATCCTGATAAATTTCTTTCTTATTGGAAGGCATCCGTACCAGTGATGGGTCAATTGAGCTGTGCTTTAATGTTAACAATATATTGAAGCTTCTCGGTGGAAAAGAAATTGAGAGCGTTATAAGAGTAAAAAAGGAAAACTGGAATAAAGACAATCAAGGCGACGCCAACGTTCACAGGACGCAGCCCCCGACACAGTCAAGCTTCCACAGCAGGGTTATTGTCGGGACTAGTGAAATAAACTTAAAACTGATTATATAGTTGTTCTTTTTTAAACCCTAACTTTCTTTCAAATTTAACGAAACAAACAAAATCATGATACTTGCAAGACAATTGTGAAGGGCAGGTAAGTAAAAGTAACTTTAAGAATTCAGTAAGATATTAATTATTAACCTCACCTCATACAACAACCATTGCTGAAACTATATTCTATAATTACTTCCAACTCCTAGACGGTATACAAACTTGGGAAAGGGCAATGCATATCTTAACCATTGTTTTTACTCCTTATAGCCTGTTTATCATGGCATACTCATTGTTAATAGTTTTGTAAATATTTTGATAAAAAAGGTCAGGTTCATTTCCCGACGATTTTGAAAACACGAGTGACTTGTTTCAAAAACTGCAACGGCTAAATATTGATCGGATGCATTTCATTGCATAAAAAAGTTAGGAAGAGAACCCTGCTTTTCTTGCTTTATAGCACTAAAACCTTTACTTTTCTCTACTTTTGTCTCTTCTTTCTTCCTTTTTTTCCTTTTTTTTTAGTCTTTTTATTTACCACTTGAAAGCCTGAAATTAAATTTTTCATTGATACTTTAGCCGTGGTCCTGTGTTGCTTGGTCATGTGGATGAAAATGCTATTTTAAGCGATGTCGAGAGCGTATTTCATAAATAAATCTGACTGGCGAGTAGTGGAATATATACATGTCGGACTGTTTTGGCGAGAAGAGTTTTGTTAAATTATTAACATCAATGTTAAACAACAGGTTTATCTTGAACAAAAAACCTCGAAATTAGCCCGAAATGCAATGGAAAATCTAAATTTAGTATCACTTGATTTTATTCAGGCATTGTTCGTATATCTTCTCCGTGGTGCAAGGGTAACGCGCTCGTTTAGTGTGTCTGGGGTTCAAATCCAATTCAATGCAATTATTTTTTATAAAGTTTCTTTGTTATGGAAACAGCCACGATATGCAAGGATAAAGTGTGGCTGTCATGAAAATGAACATAAATGATTTTTGATGCAACTCTAGTCATGCAAAATTCCATATGTATCAAACTCTGGTACCAAGCAAGAAGAATTATAGTACATAAAAATAAACTTATACAGGAAAATAATACAGTTATACAGTGCGATTTAGATTGCAAAGATCAGAAAATACCACAGAGCTTGCAGCCTTTTGATTTATCTTGTTTTTCGTATGTATGTTCTGGAGATTAGGTGGGTGGTTCTCGTAATACTTTAAGATTTATAAGATTGTGTATTAAAAGCCTTTGTAAATTGTTTCGGAAATACTGGATATCGTTTTGAAAATTTATAGAGCTACTGAAGTATTTTAAACACATGAACGAAAAATTTCACAGTAACAGGCCTAAGTATTTTGGTTATAGTGATTATACCGTAATCAAACGTTAAAGGTCTTCTAGGAAATGTTCTTTGGAATTAAATACTAAGGGTAAGCACTAGAACATAAACCACCAGATTGCTTGCAAAATCTTTATCGGCAGGATAAATTGGTTCAGAAAACATAATTTTTCACAGTCATGATCAAATGAACAGACTGTCATTTTCTTCCTGTTACCGAAAGATACGAACAGATTGTCATTTTCTTCCTGTTACCGAAAAATACACACCAGGAAGATTTCAAGTAGAAGACACGTCACTGACAGAATGTTCTTAATATTTGAATAGAAAAGAATTTGCTAAAGCCAATTTATGAAAGAGAAATCGGGGATGCTACTTATTAAATTATTTGCCAATAAAAGAGGGTTTATTTTACTCGTATAGATTATATTCAAAAACAAAAGTCACAAAAAGCAAAGGTTACCTGATATTAAGATGTAAACCGCGACATATAAAATTAATTTACCTGTGAAACTGGAGTGAAAATGTGTTAGTTTATCCGGTTTTTTCTTCAGTGCCTTCAGCACTTTGATCTTATCTGTAGTACAAGTAAACTACGGTATATCGTTTTCACCGAAAAATCATTAAATTCTAAACAAGTTTCTAATAGAATCATAAACATTTATTGTATCATAGTTTGAAGACTTTTCTGTTGAAAACGTGTCCTATTTAAATCGAATTCATATACATGCACAGTGCGTAACTGGAGTGCAGGTAATAGTTCCCAACACTCCAGAGCATGGTCATTGATGTTCTCATTCTTTTTTTTTTTTTTTTTTTTTGGGGGGGGGGGGTGCTTTTTGTGGAATAACGATAGAAATGCCATATTCAGAAGCTGGTTCATAGGTTTTTTATGGGTTTTCATATTGTTACAACAGGGAACGTGCATTTAATTTTGCCTATGGTATGAACATGATGTAATTGTGTGTGGAACGTGTATGTACGATCCTATCAAGATAGCCTACGAAACGTCACTCATTACATACACAGATGCCCGTTTGTGCCAGAAACAATTTTGCAAAGGGGGCATCTGAGTTCTTACTCCACCAGTAAAACTGAAGAGTCGCCAAAATGACCTACACAGTTTTGTGTGACGAAACCCCCACTCCATCCCAAAAACAAACAATCAAATCAAATCAAATGAGACATGTCATTAACTGTATTTGATTTAAATACGTTATAGATAGCGTTAAATACTTTTATTAGTGTGATTACACTGTGCTCGTTATAGTATAAATATCACCGATGCATTATGTTTGCCTTAGAATATTCAAATTGAAACTGAAAAGTCAATGAAAATTATTGTACATGTATATAATATCTTTCCGTTTTGTCTAAAAATGTCCGCTTCGCTGGCGTTTGATTTTTCAAGACATCGAAATTGCTACCTTGATTATCTTTTATACAGTTTTTCTTCGTTATATAAACATGATAGGTTAGAGTGTTGAGAAAAAATCAATAGACTTTTTTACCCCCCGTTTACTCTGTTGTTCCAAAAATGTCCGTTGCATATTTTAGTTATACCCGATGAATTGTGGGTAACTTCTGTACATGTCTGGGAAAACCAACTTTCATTTTTGCATCAAAAACTAATGTGAAAATGCATTTTCTAGCATAATTGTTGTTAGAGGGTTGGTTAAAGTGTAAGTTATTGTTATTTTAGTCATAATATTGTGATTTGTGAGGAAATTTGTTTACATTTTTTTTGGACACCAAATTACCTGTCAGACCTCAGTGTAGCCCCTTTAACTCTGGCAACACGAAGTATATGCAATTAAATACATAATTTACCTCCCCTTATTAGTTCACCACCATTTGCACAAACAGCAAAACATCAGCAAAATTGTAGGTATAAGTAGTTTGTTTTTGTTTACCATTATATATTAAGCTAAGAATATACTAGTGAAGTGTTAAAAGTTACAATACACAAAATAAGTAATCCTCCGCGAAAAACGATAGTCGCATACATAATAACAGATTCAAATAGTTCTCAGCGTTTGTTTGCTCTTGTGCACGAGCATTTTTCATGATTTTAGTTGCACTGTCTTTCCTAGAAAGCTCATGACAATCTGTGTTTGACATTTAAATAGCTTTTTCATCATGAAATAGTGGCATTTTAAGAAATCTTCTTGACTTCTTAGGTGTTTCACCACTGGTACAATTTTGGGTTTGCTAATTTTACAGTGTGTTTAACTGAAAAGAATGTTTTTGCAAGAGACATGACCAAAACTTTTCTTTTGATTTTTATGCATCACTGACAGTTTTTCTAGTAGTTCAAATCTTTTTCAGACCAGGGCAAGTACAAACTTGATGCCTCGCTTCGGTCTCTCCTTGAACGACCCCATGTCCAATCACTGAAAAGAATAGTACTGCAGTTGGAAGGCCTTGTCCAAAGAGGTGTTGTGCCTAAATATGAATTAAATTGATTTACTAATAAGGACATTATGGCCAATCTTAAATGTTTTATGACAAATTGACCTTCCAGGTAAAGGCCATTCAGGGATCAAGGAAAATAAAAACAGGCCCGTAGGAAGGTCTTGTGCTAAGGGATGTTGTGTTTAAATATGAATCAAATCCGTTTATTAATGAGGAAGTTATGGCCAATGTTAAAGTTTTCGGACGGATTGACGGACGGACAGTTCAAAACTAATATGCCTCCCTTCGGGATATACACAACGTCTTGCAAAGAAATGCTGCTGTTCAAAAACGTTTTATTTGCTTTGGTAGATTGAAAATTATATTTTCACCATCTTTTGTTTGTTTTGGGTTTTACGTCACATCGACACAGTATAAGTCATATGGCGACGTTCCAGCTTTACTGGTGGAGGAAGACCTTAGGTGCCCTTCCGCTCATTATTTTAGGCACGAACGGGTACCTTAGTAGAACCACCGACGTTCCGTAAGTTAGCTCGATAGCTTCCTCACATGAAAGAATCCAAAGTCCCTGTCGGGATTCGAACCCAAAGAGGTGAGGGGCAAGTGGTTTGAAGTAAACGACCTTAACCACTCAGGCACGGACGCCCCCTTTTTCACCATCTGAATAACATATTAAAACCAGACACGCACTGCGCTTGTCTTGCTCACAACGAGGCTATGGTGCTCACAACGAGGATTAAAGCAAATAAGGGTATATCTTCGTTTCTATGAAGAATTTCATGTAATAATTTACGCTGAAGACTTGTAGGCATCTGTTTAAGGTTAGAATGCACAAAACTTCACCAAAATCGACGTTTTCAATGTTAAATTTGGTCCGGAGAGAAGTTGTCTCCAGTTTTACAGCTACCCCAAGTGACTGCGTCGCACAGTATTTCCATCAAATTGTCGACCAATAGGCAATATCTTTACATGTGCATACTCGGAAAACACATCGCTAGCTAACTGCATTCCGATATTTTTACAAAAAATATGAAAAACTCACCTTGTTTATCGTGTCAAACGTCCTAGACGGGTGCTCACAACGAGGAACGGAAGTTGCTCACAACATTTTAACCGATGGACATTTTTCACTCTTTGTGAATTAAACGGGCGTGTTTATGTTGTTCATATTCACCATGCATGCTTCCTGTGTTTTTATTAATAAAATAAAATAAATACCGGTACAATAAAGTACATTATATTAAATCAAAGTCCATAAAAATAAAACGGCTAACACAAAGTTGAACATTGTATCCCTCATGTAGTGACTTAGAATTGTACGAACAAGGTATAAATTAATGAACTCGCAGTTAAACATTGTACATAAACGGAAACAATATTTGCTGACTTAAAGTTTAAATTATACCTTACACAAAGCATAAAGTTGTAAAAATGTACTTACTAAATCAAAGTTGAACATTGTTCCCATAAGTAATGTAGTAACGTACTCAAAGTTAAACATTGTATCCATAAGTAATGTAGCACCTAAAACAAAGTTGAACATTGTACCCATAAGTAATGTAGCAACTGACTCAAAGTAGAACATTGTACCCATAAGTAATGTAGCAACTAACTCAAAGTTGAACATTGTACCCATAAGTAATGTAGTAACTAACTCAAAGTTGAACATTGTACCTATAAGTAATGTAGCAACTAACTCAAAGTTGAACATTGTACCCATAAGTAATGTAGCAACTAACACAAAGTTGAACATTGTATCCATAAGTAATGTAGCAACTAACTCAAAGTTGAACATAGTACCCATAAGTAATGTAGCAACTTACTCAAAGTTGAACATTGTACCCATAAGTAATGTAGCACCTAACACAAAGTTGAACATTGTACCCATAAGTAATGTAGCAGCTAACTCAAAGTTGAACATTGTACCCATAAGTAATGTAGCACCTAAAACAAAGTTGTACATTGTATTCATAAGTAATGTAGCAACTAACTCAAAGTTGAACATTGTATCCATAAGTAATGTAGCAACTGAACTCAAAGTTGAACATAGTATCCATAAGTTATGAAGCAACTAACTCACAGTTGTACTAAAGTAGCAAGTAATTCAAAGTTGAACATTGTACCCATAAGTAATGAAGTAACGTACTCAAAGTTGAACAGTGTTCCCGACTAACTTAAAGTTATAAGTAATGTAGCAAATCTTAGGAACGGTTACTTACTTTGACTAGTACAAGCACAACGTAACCGGCGCGAGAGTTTGATTTTACTAAGAATGGGTATTAGAATTTTTGATATTTTAATGCCAATGTGCTTTGCTGAGCATGAACTTACAATTAATTCACAAGGAGGTTATGAGACCAGATACAAGGAGGTTATGAGACCAGATTCTCTTTAATTATTGTATACAACTATTCAGTATTTACAATTAAGGTACAATATTGAGCGTCTATCATTGATTTCTTTCTTCTCATTTTCAGATGCCATCTCAACGACATTGAGAACGTATTGCCCTTCGTTCTGATAGGTCTACTCTACGTTTTGACTGGTCCGACTGTTGCAAGCGCCACCTTACACTTCCGGTTGTTTGCAGGATTCCGTTTGTTTCACACAATTGCCTATATGTTTATCCTTCCTCAACCATCACGTGCTATTGCGTTTTTTGTCGGATTTGGAGTGAACATTTCGATGGCTATCACTGTGATTAGGGCTGGCATGTTTTGACATTGTCATATAAAAATTGTTTATTCTAAGTAAATAGTCCGATCTGTAACAATTCCGAATACCATGAACGTTAGTCTTTAAAACAACATATGGAATAATAACACGGTCATCTTGTTTGATGTTACATCGGTAATAAAAAAGCACTAAATGTTTTTGTTTTCTTTTATACATTTACCGGTTAAAAAATTGCACTAAAGACAAAACATTCCATCAAGGATTGGCCATTGGTACATCCCCTTTTAATTTAATACTGACACCATTTTAAATTTTATTTTGCGAAAATACGTTATTGTGTTTTAGTCCACCTATTTCTTTGAAGATTAGTTTTAATGTACAAAATTTAACAAATGGTTATATTTCTTAATCAACGAAATTAACTTGAAAACATCTTTAAAGTGATAGTCATAGCTTTTCCGAAAGGTTATTCATAGATATTTGCCCGTCAATATTTTCCTTATTTTTTATATTATTAAATGCAGGTTATGATTAACATTATTTACCCCCTAGTCAGTTTGTTCATATTTGATACATGTATTAGGTAAACTTCAGCTGTTCTTAAAATATATTTAAAGTCAATACTGATAAATATGTAAGGCTTTATTATTAAGGGTATTTACAAGATTCATAAATTTTTCTCAAATTCGATTTTGGTAATTCAAAAGTGAAATATTATGTACTAGTTACAGATAACAAGCCTATTTGTACTTTTTTATTTGTCCTTAAAGCAATATGCATGCAACCGGATGTTATTAAAGCAGACAGATAAGCCAGTGAATGATGACGTCGATGAATCTTCAATGCTGTAATGAGGCATTTGTATCAAAAACATTATTTTTGTCAGCCTGCTTGCGGTGAGCACGACTTAGTCCCCATTTTGATGTAAAGTTCGGTGAATGTGCGTCCGTACGTCCGTCTGTTCGTGCGTCCGGATATTTCCGGTCTATATCTTGCTCATTCTAAAATTTGGTACAAATGTTATCCATGATGGGATGTTGTGTCGCACACAAAACCCAGGTCCGTCACCCAAAGGTCAAGGTCATACTTGGGGGTCCGCGCTAAACCTGTATACGGAGCGTAACTTTCACATGCATCGAGGGATTTTAATATAATTCAGGACAAAGTTCTCCATAGTGGGGATGATTGTTGCGAGAAAAATTCAGTTCCCTGCGGTAAAGGTTAAGGTCAAACTTATGTCACTTAGGGGGTCAAACGTCAAATAACAAAATAAAACATTCATTTGCGAGTATAACTTCTAAATACATAGATGGATTTTAATATAACATAGCACCGATGCTTTCAATGTTGAGTTGAGTTGTCTCGCGCAAAATGAAGGTCAAGAGGTCAAAGGTCAAATAAAATATAAAATTTGGTTGTTAGCACTGTATCTTGCTTATGCTTTAAAGTATAATGTTTAGTGGTCAGAGAATTTTTGTCAAACCCGCTTGCGCTGAGCTCGACATAATTGTCAAAATGGCTGCTCAGTGTTTGCCATAACTTCTTTGTGCACGGAGGAATCATAGGAACTCTGGAACAGAACCGCATATTGCGGCGCATAAATCCGAATCCTTATCGGCTTTACATATTGTTTGTCCGACCTTCGAATATCTTTTCATATTATGCGAGCGGGTGGTCTTTAATTATCTAATCTCAATTTAATATAATCTGCTAATTTAAAAATCAGTCAAATTTACGGTATATTGAAAAAAGAAAAGGAGTGACATCCGCCATTTACCGCAACGTTCGGCGTAAGTTATCCCCTTGATATGTTTGATTTTTGTTTTAATTTCGCTAGTAATGAATACCAGATGAGTACCTAAAATATTTATCTATGGATTATGTTTTAATATTCCTTTTTTCAGTTAGGCAAAATCAGTTGGACCATATTATTACTGTGTCTGCTTTCTCCATATTAACAAATCAAAACGCGAACACGCCTGTTATAATGCCGCCTATACATGTCAACACGTGTAAACGTTATATATCCGGACAATACCTGATAGTTGATAAAAATAACGGGCACAAAATTCTGAAAAAATAGTAATCAATTGTAGCCAAAGGGGAAAAACTCATGCCGAAAACGCTGCGGCGAATAGCGGATGTCCTTGTCTTTTTTTTATAATACCGTAAAATTTGACCAGTTTTAAAAGAGACAGATTGGGTTCAATTGATAACATATTTTTTGAGGCCATATACTCGGATAATACTAAAAGATATTTAGATGTAGCAGAACCGTTACACGATCGAAAATATGCGCCGCAATCTGCGGTCCTGTTCTCGAGTTCCTATGGGAGGTATTTTCAAATAACATGACTTGAGTTTTTAGGCATGATACTTCATGTCATGCACATGAACCAGGTCACTGGGTCAGACGTCAAGGTCACCTAAGATGATGCAATGTCAAGATTTTGCCTTGGGTATAAAGAGGATGTGTTTTAAGTTAGTGTGATATAGACTGGTATTGATGAACCTAAAAGCAAAGTTTTTTCAAGTCAGCCATTATGTTGTGCATGCATACATGCATACTTAACATGTAGTATGTTTAAAACTCGATACTCGGTCGAGGTAAAACGTATGTTCCACGTTTTCCATACATATAGAAATGTTAGCATTGCTTGAATAACAATGACATAATAATTTCTTGTAGCCGGTTAGTAATCTTGAAAAAAAGAACACTTTAAGATGTACGAGTATTTGTTCCTTATTGACCCTGTCGTGCTTCTATGCAGTCGGTAGGCAATTTTTGGTATAGATCTAAATACTTAATAAATGCGCAAAAAATATGTGAAAATTATAAACACGTACCATATAAATTGAACACACCGTTGATCATGTTATATAATATACACTTATAATTATTGAACACTGAGGGTACCTGATAAGTTCGGACATTATTATCGTTTTTTTTGGACAAACTTTATAACTCAGAAAGATCTTATGTAAAATAAACGTTATTCTTATGTAAACTAAACACTAGGGCTTTAACTAGAAAGTTAAAGAACTATCCTGTACATTTTATTTAAGACTATCCTTTACATGCATTTTATTTAATAATAGCAACCACTATCCTTTACATTTTAGTTAAAATGCCCAATGAGATTACCATATTTCGTTTTGTAATTTTAAAATGACCAAATAAAATTCTTCTTATATTCAGTTCTTCCCTGTAAATTATACAGGAAGTCAAAACTGATTTTAGACGGCTTTCGACCGAAAAAGAAATTACTGAATATAAGGAAATCATGACACCCATTTATTTCGTATTATTTGACTGTAGATATTCTCTTCTTATAATAACATGCAAAGTTTAAATTCTATAGAACAGTTTTAATTTTGCCTATGAGTCTATATGAAAACGTCCGAAAACGTCTTTAAGGATAATTAAAAAGAACGTTTCAACTTTGTCAGTGATTCCGATTAATTGATTTACAGGTTTCCAAATTACAAGTTATATTTATAAAATATGGTGGTTGAAAGGGAGTAACGGTTTCCGTCAATAAATCATTTAAACATTTATCCTGTATATTATACATACAAGTACATAATCATATCCTATAAATTATTCATACAAGTACATAGTCATACCCTGGATATTATGCATACGAGTACATAATCATATCCTGTGTATTATACATACAAGTACATAATCATATCCTGTGTATTATACATACAAGTACATAATCATATCCAGTGTATTATACATACAAGTACATAATCATATCCAGTATATTATACATACGAGTACATAATCATATCCTGTGTATTAAACATACAAGTACATAATCATATCCTGTGTATTAAACATACGAGTACATAATCATATCCTGTGTATTATACATACAAGTACATAATCATATCCTGTGTATTATACATACAAGTACATAATCATATCCAGTATATTATACATACGAGTACATAATCATATCCTGTGTATTATACATACGAGTACATAATCATATCCTGTGTATTATACATACAAGTACATAATCATATCCTGTGTATTATACATACAAGTACATAATCATATCCAGTATATTATACATACGAGTACATAATCATATCCTGTGTATTAAACATACGAGTACATAATCATATCCTGTGTATTATACATACGAGTACATAATCATATCCTGTGTATTATACATACAAGTACATAATCATATCCTGTGTATTATACATACAAGTACATAATCATATCCTGTGTATTATACATACAAGTACATAATCATATCATGTGTATTATACATACAAGTACATAATCATATCCTGTGTATTAAACATACGAGTACATAATCATATCCTGTGTATTATACATACAAGTACATAATCATATCCTGTGTATTATACATACAAGTACATAATCATATCCTGTGTATTATACATACGAGTACATAATCATATCCTGTGTATTATACATACGAGTACATAATCATATCCTGTGTATTAAACATACAAGTACATAATCATATCCTGTGTATTAAACATACAAGTACATAATCATATCCTGTATATTATACATACGAGTACATAATCATATCCTGTGTATTATACATACGAGTACATAATCATATCCTGTGTATTATACATACAAGTACATAATCATATCCTGTGTATTATACATACAAGTACATAATCATATCCTGTGTATTATACATACAAGTACATAATCATATCCTGTGTATTAAACATACAAGTACATAATCATATCCTGTATATTATACATACAAGTACATAATCATATCCTGTGTATTATACATACGAGTACATAATCATATCCTGTGTATTATACATACAAGTACATAATCATATCCTGTGTATTAAACATACAAGTACATAATCATATCCTGTATATTATACATACAAGAACATAATCATATCCTGTATTTACAAATGTGCATGCAAAAAAAATAAATGAATGACAGGATGTAATTGTGTAAAGTTATTGTAAACTTGCAAAAGCTGAATTATCACACCTTTATAATATATCATCTTATTTTTTTTATAATTACATATACAGATGTCGCCGTAAATATTGTAATTTATCTATCATTTCAAAATCACTTCTCTACCACAGAAAATATAAGTTTAATATTGCTAACATTTAAAATGGATAGGAAAATATTCACAGTTTTCTGCCAAGGAATATTATACATGTTTGGGATCTGTAGTGCTCGTGAGTTGTTTTAATATCTTTTGTTCCGACTGAAAAAAATGAAGAATGTTTTTACGCATGTTTCGTTATATAAAGGCACTGCTGTTTGTAGACAATACATAATGTCCAAACTTGGCATACTGCTTCCATTCAACAATTTCTTTATAAGAAGAAGATCTCACAAAAGATGTAAACTGTAAATGTGCTTTCGTTTGACTGGTCGTTTATGTGACTGACACGTGTATCATTTTGTATATTAATTTTACTGGTGTTATTTATCATCATTATTTTACAGAGAAATACTCGGAAAATCCTTGTCCTAGCGGAGTTTTTCCATTAAAAGATGAGCACTGCGATCGGGATTTAGGTTTTCTAGAATGTCCTATTGGTAGCTACTGCCAACCAACAAGCGAAGGAAATCCCCCCGTGTGCTGCCGTACGCTCTTTTCTTTAACATTCAGTTTTACTAGTATATACTTTGTTTATACATGCATTGATACAGCAGAGATTTTCCGTTTACAAATGTTTGATTAAATCTGTTTAAAATAATTAAGATTTATTGAATAATTATACAGACTTCTAGAACTAGGATGTTGACGTATATTCCATTAAAAAACTTGAAACTGACATCCTGGTAAATAAATCCTATTATTAAATTCAAATATGATAATAATTATATATATTTTGGCCATACGTGACATCTTTCGGGAGTCCGAAAGTGACTGTCAGATCAGGTTACTGCGAGAGAAAATAACTGCTTGAAGCCTTCGTTTGGATATGTTCAAATGTATGCCTTGATAAATGTCACGCAACCAGGGAAATTGGCACGTGAATTCAAAATACTATTAGTGTCCAGCTTTATTTGTCATCCAATGAAAACGCTGTATGTATTAAAATTTTTGTGTGTTAATTTTCATAGAAGAAAAAAGTTGATACTTTATCGAAATCCGTTCATAGTCGCCTTCTATTTTTCATAGTGTTTCATAAAACCGCGTAGTGACGTAATCAAGGGACACTAAATACATGTATGTTAGTATTCATCCTTAGCTGTTCCACAGATGTCTCCTGTCACTATCGCTCCCGTCGAAGTTTCTAATTTCTGTAGAACAGCTCGGATGAACACTAACATATACGTAGAGGTCTCACCAAAATATTACTGTTAGTCGACATTTCGCCATACCCATCATGTAACATAAGGATAACTGGCCCGAGCGCTTCCGCATATTAGTATATTTTATTATTTTTCTTACTTCTATTTAAACAATTTATATAGCAAACGGTCATCATTCAATAACATGTACAAGACAATATATCAGAACGTAATAATTATTTTTATAACATTTTATCAACATTTTGAGGAAAAAACTTAATAATGTAACGCAGCAAAAGGGGGGCCACTGCGTATGAGTTTTTGCTGATTCACTGTTTGCATGTATGACATCAGTATGAACACCGATTGTTATATGACATTAACTACAAACAAAGCTATTTTCATTCAACCATGCTTCATTTAATGATTTTGTTTGAAATATTAACATGACAACATAAACAACATTCCTATGCCCGATGATAAATATTATGAACTATTGTTGTTTACAGCAACAACATGCCAATATGGAGTGCCTTTATTACACGAAGATGGAAGTCAAGTCCAATGTGAGGAAAGACAGAAGAGAAAGAAAATAATTAAATGGTGTCCACGAGGATCAATTTGCACAGAAGTTACCCCAACTCTCCAACTGTGTTGCCCCAAAAAATCAAGATGGATGAAAAATCTTGAGAAACTATGGTCTCGCTAATATGAAAATTAACGCAACTCCCGTTCCTTCCCGACCTATACACCAAATTAATAAATGGAAATAAAATATGTATTATATATGCATGGTTTACAAAAGGTCTATGAAGCATAAACAATACGTCACTGCGTTTTCGTTCATTTCTTAATTTATACATATATTTTTCCACTACACCGGCTATAAGGAAGATTGTTTCTAAGGATGCAACGATTCGATCCGATTTCGATTTTAGGCACCCCGATTCGATTATTTTCGATTAATTCGTGAATGTCTGATTACTATATTTTCTTAAGTTGACAATTCTGCTTATTTGCTCTTAAAAGTGAACGGTCCTTAACATAGTTTTTCCATTTCTTCAGTTATATAACTCAACTTATTTGACTTTTCCGGCCGAAGGCTGGTCTAAAATCAGTTTGACTAAGAACTTAATATCAGAAGAGTTTTCATTGGTCATTTAAAATTACAAAATGAAATCTGGGAATCTCATTGGCCATTCTAAAATAAAATGTAAAGGATAAATCTTGTCATTCTAAGATAGTTCTTAACATAGTTTTTTAATTAACTTTCTAGTTAACTTGCTCAGATATTTAAGTTTTATCTAACAATACTTCTTGCATTCATATCTCATTACATTTTCTAGTGAACAGTTTATTTTACGTAAGAGCTCTCACAAGATCTGAACTTTTAATTTTGTTCAAAAATAACGAGAATAATATCAGAACTTATCAGGTACCCTTAGTTTATGATGTTCAATAAGTGTCTAATACATTATATGATTACTGTACTGGTGTGTGCAATGTTTATTATTGTCACATATCTTTGCATATTTATCAAGCGTTTATAAAAATAAATACTGCGTAGATGTTGATGTTAGAAATTGAGTTCAATTGAAACACGACAGGTTCGTTTAGAAACACACACATCTTAAAGTGTTCCATTTTGGAAGATAAATATTCTTAAAAGAAATTATTATGTTATTTTTATGCAATCTATGCTTACATTAAAATTTTCTATATGACTGCATGGTAAACTAAGAACTATATGCAAGTTAACCAGATTTACTTCGACAGAGCATCTTTTTTTTTGGACCCCTACTACAACCCTGAATAAAATAGTTCAACACTCTAAGGCTTACTATAAGGTACCAAATACAAAACCCCACCGATAAAATTATATAAAAAAACCACTTTCAAAAATTATAGTCCTAGAAAGGTGAAAAGCCTACTATATGTTCATTTGCCCAACAATGTGGAACACGGGAAATTGTCGTTTCGGCGACTGAGGCGCATTCCGGCGGCATTTCGCTGCATCATTCATTAACATCGATAAAAAGAACTAAAATTCCACAGCTTCCAACGAATATCAATATTCTATCGATTGTTTGTTTCTCGTCGCTGCCATTTTGGATTCTGATACCTGTGTGATATACGCGATCTGATTGGTACGTCCAATTTGACTCAGTGTTTCTACCCAGGTATCAGACTGCAAAATGGCTACGACAATTCAAAAAATACCGTGAAACAGAAAAAAATCGGAATGATATTGATATTCGTTGGACTTGAAAGAGCAAATCTAGCGAGAATCACATGTGTCACAAGTGTGATAACCGTGACTTCAAATTTGTGGTCGCATATTTCACACAACACAAACACATTCTTCGGCCCTGCTGTATAGTTTATATTTAGGTTAAGAATCAGAATTGCCACATCTATTTTCTCTAGTAAACGATCACATTTGTCACGCATTTTTACATATGAACAAGCAACAATATTATCATCTGATAGTAAAATCAAGATCAATGGTAAAGATTTAGTGCGTCTGACTCCTAATCCAGGGGTCACATATTCAAATCCAAGAAATAGAATTAAATCACGATTTCTCCCAATCACTTCCTTCCACTCGAGCACTGATGAGCTTCAAGAAAGCAGATATAAGGAATATATTAATATAAGCACACTTTAGTGCTTTCTCTAAAACCGAGGTAAAACCACCCCTGAATATGATGACTATGTTTATTTTTGTGTTTTTTGTTTGTTTTTTTAACGTCACACCAGCACAGTACAGGTATGGCGATGTTCCAGCTTTACTGGTGGAGGAAGACCTCTTCCGTGCATTATTTCAGACACGAACAGGCACTTTAGTAGAACCACCGGCGTTCCGTTAGCTAGCTGGATAGCTTCCTCACATGAAAGAATCCAGAGTCGCTGTCGGGCTTCGAACCCACAGCGGTGAGGGGCAAGTGGTTTAAAGTCAACGACCTTAACCACTCGGCATTGAACGGACGCGCCTTTGATGGCTATGTAATGGACTTTATTGTAGGCGTGTCCATCAATTAAAGGTCAATTTAGTTCTGAACCTGGAACTAGGTCAATAATCACGAGTTCTTATCTTATCGTAGTAAAAGTTACATCAATAAAATCATACAACAAGATGGATATTCATGGACACGTCTACTTACTCTTCCTGATGTTAGCATGTCTTCTAGGAAATAATTTAGGTAGGAAATACGGCGAATATTTCAATTCAAAGTTTTTTTTATCTAATTAAATGTTTGTTTCATCATAAAATGATTGTTTTGTTAACTTCCGAAAAATTGGAAACAATCCGATTGATAATATTTCCCTGCGTGCTGCGGTATGGAGGAGCACTGGACTGGAGGAGCACGTGATCTGTAAACCGCACATGATTGGTTAATAATCAACGTTGTATAGTTGTTTTTTTAAATTAATTGGTATTAATTTTTTTGCGGATGGCGAAACACGTGCCAAAATATAGAAACATATATATCTACATGTATAAGACCCAATTTACCAGGCCATTTACCGGCTAATTGTTGAATATTATTACAGTGTTAATTATACAACGTTTAACACCGATCACTCTTTATTTTTTAGATTGTGAAGCAGCAGAGAACCCGTGTTCATATGGAAGTCCATTGCATGGTTCCTATTGCGGCCGAGGTGGTCATCCCTGTCCTCAATATCACTCTTGTAAAATAGCGCCAAACGACGCTTATGCCGTCTGCTGTCGTATGTATATATAAGTCTTTATCACGTTCACATATAATAATCGTGTTTCATCTATAGTTATTATATGTATATAGGCATGTATTAGAGTAACATGTTGTTAAAAAATAATATTTGATACATAAAAATACCTTCACGCTGAACTGCAATGACACTCACAAATATTTCACTGGTATTCATCTTGTGAATCAGAAAATTCATCAGAAATTAGAAAGTTCGACGGGAGCGATAGCGACAGGAGAATGTTTCTAATTTCTGTAGAACAGCTACGGATGGATACTAACATACTTAGTGTCAAGCTTTATTTGGCCTCATTATCATTCACTTTATTACGACACTATGCGGTTCTTTGGAGTACTATGAAAAATAGAAGTCGACTATGAACATAAATCGATATAGTATCGACGAAATTGTCCTTCTATGAAAATTAACGTACAGAATTTTTAAGAGAAAAGCGTTTTCATTAGATGACAAATGAAGTTGGACGCTAAGTTTAGAATGAAATAGTGTAGGCATTGATACAGTAGAGAATTTAGAAGTAGTAAAGGTGATGTGTACATTGACGCGAATAGGGGGAAATTGCTCAGTTTTCCTATGCATTGGTCATAGTGACTTGTCTTCTCATGGAAATGTAAACAGAATATAACCCCGGTGCTAATAAGTGCATGGCCCATCAAAAACAAACTTACCACTCATTTAAATTTGACATCATGAAGAACTGCTTGTTTGCATGTACCTATAGACGGATTTTTACCTTGCAGTGTCTTTGGATGTGTACATCGCACTGTAAGTTTTCGCGACACAATGTTTAGTTTTGGCCAGTGAATTTATTCTGATTTATTTCAGCTGATTATTGTAAAGCTGGATCTCTTCCTGTAATGGACGGCAATGGGTTTCCGGTGCATTGTGGGAGAGGAGGAATGCAGTGTCCGGATTCATACATCTGTCGCGTGGCACCAACCGACGCCTGGGCCGTCTGCTGTCCAGATATTTAGATATTTTTATGTGACTAATCCGAATGTAATTAAATGATGAATTATTTATTTATCAAACTTGTCTTAGTTATTCATTACTTGTGATAGTCGCTTTACTATTTAGGGAAAGTGAAGCGTTCTTACCTTACTTCATTTTCTATGTATCTCCCTTATCTAGTTAGTTAAGGTTTTGAATGATCTCCCTTTACTTGATAACGCTTGTCCGGAGAATGAAGTGAGGAAAGCCGTAATTCTACCTTGTTTATTGTTTTCTTTAATTACCCGACTTTTATGATAATTAGATATATGTAATAATGATTGTCTTGAGTACAACTTCTAAACTAGCATTGATATCACACAGCTATACAGAGTAAATGCAGGTAGGTAGATACCTTTTGTGATTTTCTAACTTTAGGCGTACATACTTATATACTGCCTCATACTGCCTTGCCTTATGTGAGGTCCTATGAACAGGGATGGATATTTCTTGTTGTACCTATATAATGATCAGAGAAGAATATGCCTACGTTACTTTATTTTTAAAATGTTGAAATTCATGCTTTAATATTACACGAGAAGTAAAAAGCAAACAGGGACTTAAGAACTTCAATTGATATGGTAAAAATATTGAAAATAAAAATGCTTCAAGAATGCTCTTTTGACAGATCAACCAAGCAGATCTACTCGTAGCAGCGAATTCCGAAAGATAAAATTAAAATCAGTGTTTTGATTGTTTTATATATTTTAAAGGGACCTCAACGTTTTTTTGTATGAAATTATGAAATTTGTATCTGTATTGTATATACATGTATATAGCAATAAAATATGATTAAACTAAAAAAACGTTTTTTTGTTTTTGTTGTTTTTTTTTACAAAAACATGATAGATTATCATTGCTGACAGATGTTAACGGACTTTCATATTTTACTGATGACTTTCTGGAGCTGTTGATATTTTGCCCCGTTTTTGAATTATCTCCCCTTTTAGAAAAATCTTGTCCGGGACATAACTCTACAACTATAAGAGATATCAATATGAAACTTTGTAGATAGATAGATCGCAATGGGTAGCTGTGCAGTGCACAAGAACCGTAACTCTGCCACGCCTAATTTTGGAGTTATTGTCCTTTGTTCAATTTTACACTTTGAATTTTGCCCAGAACATAATTCTAAAATTATAAGAGATATCAACATGAAACTTTGTAAGTACATGTAGATAGATCTCATTGTTAAGAAGTGCATTTCAAAGAACCATAACTCTACTCAGCCTCTTTTTTAAATTATTTCCCCGTTCAGAAAAATCTTGTTCGAGACATAACTAGATAATTATAAGAGATCTCAACATGAAACAGTGTAGGTAGATAGATCTTAATGAGTAGATGTGCAGTGCATAAAAACGTAACTCTGTCTTGCCCTATTTTGGAGTTATTGCCCTTTGTTCATTTTTACATTTTAAACTTTGTCAGGGACATAACTCGGAAACCATAACAGGTATCAACAAGAAACTTTGTAGGTCGATAGATCTCATTGGGTAGAAGTGCATTGCAAAAGAATCATAACTCTGGATATCCCTGTTATTGAATTATCTCCCCTTTTAGAAAAATCTTGTCCGAGACATAACTCTATATAATTATAAGAGATTTCAACATGAAACTTTGTAGGTAGATAGGTCTCAATAGGTAAATGTGCAGTGCACAAGAAACGTAACTCTGTCTTGCCTTATTTTTGGAGTTTTTGCCCTTTGTTCGTTTTTACATTTTAAACTTTGTCAAGGACATAACTCGGAAACCATAACAGGTCTCAAACAAGAAACATGTGTTCATTTATTAGAAGTCCAGTGTAAAGAACAGTTACTCTGCCTTGCCTTATTCTGGAATTATTGCACTTTAAACTTTGTCCAGGGACACAACTCTGAAACTTCAAGAGGTGTACTTTCCTTTGTCAAAACCTATTCGGGGAACATAACCAGGTTCAGACCGGGCCAGGTTCAACCGGGCTCTTGTTTCCTGTATTCGACAACGCGATTACTGTGAGTCTCTGTGTCACATGGGACAGTCGGCTATCATGTTATCAACACCAGTACACAGTATACAAACATAGAAGACCACATATTTATTATGAGCCCGAGTAGAAGACAAATCGTAAGAGACCTGATATTTAAAACACACCTAAAATGGATGGATGCAAAATCGTTTGTCATTTAAAATCTGTAGTCAGTATGAAATATTGGTGCATGTAATATACAAAATGAGATAATGTCGAAACAGTTTTATACTTGGACAGCATCTGTATCGTTAAAAAACTTAATTTTAACATAAAAAGCCGTTTTAAATTTAAGCCATATTTTATATCTTTACTTTCAAAAGCATTATACACACGTTTTGTGAAGTATGTTGTAAAAATAGATTTAACTGTTTACTGAAAAGTTCGTGTGAAACCCCGTGCATATCGTGAATCGGTATTTATTTATACAAACAGTTATAAATTATGGAGTAAAAAGGTGTGAAGGATTATTTTGTCAAATATAAAGCAATTTCAATATGGCTGAACGAATATATCCAGGTTTTCATCGGTCGGCATTTGACAGATTCATACCCTTCCGACCGGACTTGGATGTTGAAAAGTCAAACGCTAGACTCATGTCGCGTTCACCAGACCGTACGGAAAAGGAACTCGGTCAGATTAAGAGTCCAGTCGGAAGACATTACACTCGGCTTTTCTCAGAATCAATGAATGGAGGAGATGGTAAAATATTGCCAATATGCAGGACACCGGTTACAAGTAGGGCATTGATTTCATTTGTTTTAATTTGTTACGTATTTAATAATTAATATTTAATGCATAAAAACAAATCTACTTCATGCGATCGCAAACATCATAAAAAGATGATACAATTTAAAATGATCTCAACAAATGATACCATCATACCGTGATAAGTGATTCCGTTCTTATATTGTGTAGGACATAAATGTCAGATACTTTTCTGGACAAATTCATAATATATAAATATGTAAAAAGAGCGAAAATATGTGGCATTTTCCTGCTCAAGGCTAGATACTTAGTGAAAACAGATATGGAGTCGTTGTTTTTTCTGTACAAGTCTAGTGATTGGATAATGCGGTATATGGCATATTTCTGATCAGGTATACTAACACATGTGTCATTTTTCTGTACAAGTCTAGAGATCGGTTAATACCAACTGTGGCATTTACCTGTACATTCCCAGAGGTCAGGTCATGAGATATATGTCATTTACCTGGTACTTTGGTGGGATGAATCCCCACAGTCACGAAACAACCCTAGGCACTTAATGCTACAATATCTTCTGTAAAGGAAATAGCTCACAGGATCCACTCCAGAGCAAACTTCTGTCACTATTAGGTTACTACCTTTAGGCTGTGCAATGTTGATCGGACCGTTCCGGTTTTTTCGTAGCGGAACATTTAGCCACACCTTTCTCCATTCATTGCTAGGTCAACTGCTCACAAACAGTATCACAAACATAAGCACGTGTTCTTTTGTGCAAACCAGGTCAACCAGTGACTATGTATTATCTCACTGTAGCGATTGGATAACAAGTTAGCCAATTTACATAAAACTGTAAACACCGATGAGAGGACTAACTCCAAGCTGTCTAGCTAGACGGTCTACATGAAAATGTGCATCTACACTATACTACCCTCATGGTCGACACAGATCTTGAGATTGTCAAATACGCTATCAGCGGACTCCTCTACCTCTCCTATGACATCAATAACCACAAGATCCTCTACATCTATTTCCTCTAACACCTCTTCTATTCCTTCCTCTTCTTTTCTGGCGACACAGCCTACCGGCCATTGTCTTGGAGTCACCGAAGGTTCATTATAAACCAATCATATACCTCCGAAGATAGCAGTCTCATGCCCTCCATAAATATTATTATGGTCATGAAAAATGACCTAACTTACAATACGACAACATTTCTTCACTTATAAAAAATGACACACCTGACTAGACAGCTTTACTTCTGCTTCTTTATTGTAAAATACAGCATTGAAACAAGTTTATATAACTTGAGAACTTTTTGACTGCCTAAAAACAAATAAAAATTACCCTCAGCATATTATTTTCTTAGTAAAATGTATTCACAGATTAAACCAACATTTCGTATATTCCTTATAAAGACAACAGGTCACGCCTTATTCAAAACGGTTCTACAACTTTCCGGATGTTACGGACATAATATTTTTTATTATTTACATTAGACTTTGTGCTAAAATTCTCAAAAAAATAGGTTGTAACACATGTGACATTTACTACAAATCCTACAACTCAGATGGTAAAACATGTGACATTTCCTGTGAAACTCTTAAATTAAGGTTGCAACACATGTGACATTTACCTGTAAAACTCTAAAATTTAGAACGCAATTTGTATGTGACATTACTTGTAGAAGTCAAGAAATCATTTTGTAACGTATGAGTCATTCGTTTTTAAAAGTGTGCTACTCCGTGATACACTTTCATTGCAGGTCCTTTCAAAAAGCGACTGACACAACTATTTCCTACAAGTCCAGACGAAGGTTACGGTTCTCCATCAATCGGAAAACTCCGAAGAATTCCGACATCACCAGAATGTGTTATGGACATGTCACTACTCCGGGACGATTTTTGTAATACTTAGTATTATATATAATTGATATACTCATATACTTATGAATTTTAATCAGACAGTCTTAACGTGTTCATTTTTATAATCGTGTTGCTCGAACCTAATGTGCTAGGCATATTTTCTCTTTTAAACCTTTCTAAATGAATCTGGTCTGAGAAAGAAAAAAACAAGACAAGACCATTGAGCAATATACGAACATTCCGGTGTTCCATATTTCTCTTCTATGTCTCGGATGTATTGAACGTGTAGTTGTTCTACTGATCCAATGTACTTGGTTATTTATTTCATCAAATACTAACATTTTTAATGCTTTGGTAATCAGTCTCTCTCTCTGTACTAAGTATTTATTGATATTCCAGATACAAATGTGTTAGATTGGAGCGACAAGAATTTAATTGCCCTTGCGTTGTTCCAATCAGTATACATATGGAACGCCAGCTCGAAAGACTGTGAAAGAATGGAATTACATTTTGCCGAATCAAACAGCTATATACCGGCATTATCCTGGAGTCCAAGAGACCAAGTATTGGCAATCTGTGATAACGACGGCGAGATAACGGTAAATATATCACTAATTAAGTTTTAATGATAAAGATGTTAACACACAAAAAAAACTTAACCTTATTAAAATCATAAAAAAATTCCGTTACTAATTAAGTGATCCAAATGTCTAGAAATGAATGTATATTCACATTTCTATACTCACGACTTTATTGAACAACTTTTTACTTCAGACTTTTGTCTCACCTGAAATGGTTTACAAAAGACTTCAAATTCTCTTGCTTTTATCAATATATCAAATATTCAACATTTATTAATCACATCCAGATATTATCAATATATGTAAATTATAACACTTAATATCCATTATCATTAATAAGTTGTATCCAGAATATTGCAAATATATTTTATCCCAGAATATTCAGTAATGCACACATGTCGATCCCATTATTTTATTTTTTTAATATATCCCAAATATTGAAATGTATCAACAGATATTCAGTCATAAAACTATTTGGATGTTTTCTTAATTTGTCAGATTTGTGATGTAGAAAAGATGCCAATCTAAGAGTAAAAATTTGTTCCACTGAGACCAAAAATGTTTCGGTTGGTACCCTTGAGTGGACTAAAATTATGGGAATCATAAGGTAAGTCATAATAATGTTTTAATAATGCCTATGTTGGGAAGTTTGCCCATTTAATTAACGAATAATATTTAACTGTTATATTTTTTAAATAGTTGCGATAGATCAACGGAAGTATTATCTTAGTGTTCGTCAGTACATATTCAAAATCAACATTTAATAATTTGTGTGAATTTGCACAAAGTTCGACATTAGACATTCAGCAGGACCTTGAAATTGTACCGACTGTGACATTCGGCAGGACAATGTGACATTCGGTAGGACAGTGTGACATTCGGTAGGACAGTGTGACATTCGGTAGGAACAGTGTGACATTTGGCAGGACAATGTGGCATTCGGCAGGACAATGTGACATTCGGCAGGACAATGTGACATTCGGCAGGACAGTGTCACATTCGGTAGGATAGTGTGACATTCGGCAGGACAATGTGACATTTGTCCTGCGGACAATGTGACATTCGGCAGGACAATGTGACATTCGGCAGGACAATGTGACATTTGGCAGGACAGTGTGACATTTGGGGTAGGACAGTGTGACATTCGGCAGGACAGTGTGACATTCGGTAGGACAGTGTGACATTTGGCAGGACAATGTGACATTCGGCAGGACAATGTGACATTCGGCAGGACAATGTGACATTCGGTAGGACAGTGTGACATTCGGCAGGACAATGTGACAGTCGGCAGGACAATGTGACAGTCGGCAGGACAATGTGACATTTGTCCTGCGGACAATGTGACATTCGCAGGACAATGTGACATTTTGCAGGACAAATGTGGCATTTGGCAGGACAATGTGACATGTGACATTCGGCAGGACAATGTGACAGTCGGCAGGACAATGTGACATTTGTCCTGCGGACAATGTGACATTCGGCAGGACAATGTGACATTTGGCAGGACAATGTGACATTTGGCAGGACAATGTGACATTCGGCAGGACAATGGTGACATTCGGCAGGACAATGTGACATTTGGCAGGACAGTGTGACATTCGACAAGGCCTTGAAATTGTACCGACTGTGACATGAAGCAGGACAAACAAGAGGACAATGAAAACTTTACCAAATCCCGTGCTAGCACAACATCCTGCAAGACATTCAGCAAGGGCGCCCCGTGCCCGGATGGTTAAGATTGTTTGATTACCATTTAAAAAAGTTTGTCATTTTAGTATTTTATTTATGTTTCAAAACGCGTTTTTCAGTGGAAATAAGAAGGGGGAGATAACCCTTCACGATGATAGATCTGAGAACAGTTCCGTGTTGAAATGCATGAGCGGACATCATTTAAAAGAGGTTTGCGGTTTGAGACTCGCTTTCCTGGAACCTCTTACCTTGCAAGCGGTGGTGATGACGGCCATGTTAATATTTGGGATCTTCGAATGATGAAAAGCTGCAGAATATCAAAGCCCATACAGCAATGTGTTAAGGTTTATTTAACTATATTAGTTATCTTATATAAGACTAGCTACCAATCATATTAAGCGACTTTGTATTTAAACGTAGTCAACTAGTTATTCAATAGTGTTTAGAAATTAATGCAACTTATCCTGTATTTTCTAAATACTTAACATTGGAACACAGTGTAAGTTGTATAAACACATTTCCTAATTGCTATAATTTATCGGTCTTTTAAACTTCATTGAACTTGTTATGTTGATTTTAATTTGAAAACCAGTTGGGTGTTAACATTACGTTGGGGACTTTTTATATCTTAACGAAATTGCAAAAATTTTTAATCACCTTTCCCCCCCGCATTTATTGGCCCGATTCAATTTAGGGGAAGTTTATTTCACACTTAAATTTCCAAGACAGAGATGGTAAAATAAACTCTAAACAAATGGGTTCATTAACCTTTTATTTTTTTGTGTTATAAAGTCATATTTTTGCTTTTGGCTTGCTAAAAAAGGTTTCAAAAATCTTTTTTTCGAAATCAAAAACCTAAATTTTAAAAAACTTTTGTCATTCACTCCCCATTTTTAAGGGGACATGGGATTTTTAAAGCCGAGCCCCTGTTTTGTATAAAAAATTTTTGTTCTTTACCCGTTGTTACTTTTTTTTATATTTTTTTCCAGGCATTGGGTTGGGGTCCATGGAGACAAGGGGGTTTAAGCGACAGGAGGCGGGTTTAAAAGACGGTCACATATGTTTGTGGCGCGCACACACAGGGAAAGATTGGGAGAAATCGTCACAAATTCACAGGTTATAGAAATAACAAGATTATTTTGAAAATTATTTTAAGACCTTAGAGGTTGATTTGTTAAAATATTCCGAGAGCCTCACTTGTCTTGTCATACATAGTGGGAGTGTATATGTGTGGTCTCTGGTTATATCCGAGTACTGATGGTGAGATAGAAACACCTATAAGTGTTAGATATTTGTATGAAAATACATGACGACTTTATTTTCAGGTCAGTTTTGAATCGTATTTGTTTGTACGGTTTATTTATACACGCCTTTATTACAGGTTTGTGGTTTGTTGTGGTCAGAGGAATACAACGAGCTGGTATCTGCTCTAGGATCTTCCAGTCCCGATAAGAACGATCTTATTGTCTGGAATATGAAAAAGTTTGAGTTCGAAGCCTTGGCTAAACTACGTCATCATACGGCACGTCCGTTACATATAGCACTCAGTCCGGATAAAACAACCATAGGTACTGTTCTAAACTTGCCACAATTAAACAACAAAAGTATAGATATATGTTACATTAGGCAATTTAGAATATTGTATTTGAGTTTTTAGCTCGACTGTACAAAGCATTAGGAAAGCTGTCCTCCTAACCCAGGCGTCGGCGTTCTTGTCCACGTCAAGATTTATTAATAAAGTTTTTGTGTGCAATAAAATAATTTCTATTATAAATTCTTTATTTCTTAAAGCATCTATTCAAACTTAACACATATGTACCTTATAATCAACATGATGAATGAAACAATAGTTGACAAGGTTTATAATTTTAGCACTAAAATTAATAGAATTATCTCACCTTAACTTAGAAAAATTTCCCCCTTAAAAAAAAAAAAATATTATTTTACTATCAACTTTATTTAAAAAAAAAAAGATTTACGTCAAAACTCGAAATTTATGTTTTACATCAACTCCTCATATTCATAATAATTAATTTATTCAAGGTTTATATAACTCTAGCGTTAATATTTCCAAAATAATCTTCCTTTCAACTCTTTTTATAGCTTTCCTCATGTAACTTATTTATTTATTTCTTCAGGAATTTACTTCAAACTGCAAATATATGTTTGTTTTCAAACACCTTCATCATATATGAACTAAATTTATAAGTCTAGAACCTCTATTTTCAGAAATAATACATTTTACATTATACATTAACACATTTTGAAACGATTGACATTAGGTTTCAAATTGTTTTCTTTTTCCTAAAGAGAATAGAAATGTTTGTTATTGACATAGTCAGGTGCATGTTGTGTCGGCAAAAAAAATGTTGAAGACTTGCGTGCTTTCTTGAAACTGATACATTGTGTCATAACTGTCTTTTTCATAGTTTTTATTTGATTGGGTCGTTAGACCAAACAAATAATGGTAGCGAAATTTCAGACTCTAATGCTGTTAATTGCAAATGCCGAAAGTAGTCCGCTTTTTTGAAGCGGTTACTTCCCTTTATATGTAACACTAAGGCCGAAAATTCACGGGAGATCACTGCGTAAATATGGTCACATGACAGGCCATTAATTTTCAAGCAAAATAATTCCCGAATGGTCGAAGATTTCCAATATTGTTTTATTCTTTGTAGATATACATGCTTATAGTAAGCGCCATGATTATTTACACACGTGTTAAACAACAGTTAGCGTCGTTACAAACCCTAATTTAGAATAATATGCTTTTCTTGAGGCCATTAGCATATTAATTCACCGTGGCCGAGGGGTTTGCGCGCTCGCTTAGGAAGCGAGAGGTCTGGAGTTCAAAGGCAACTTTTTTTTTTTTTCAAATTGTTTAAGTCAAATAAACATCGGATTGAATATCAGTGTTGCAATTAGTCTTATAGCCAATCTACTACAATAAAAACGTTGGAAAGCATTGGTGGCACTATACAAAAACAAATTGTTTTATAATCTCACAACCTTCACCTTGGTGACATTCTGAGACCCAAACAAATTCAGCGCCTTCTGTGCTTTGATTTCTTTCTTTACAGCGTCCAGTATCTAATAAGTCGAGCATGATTGTCTCGTCTGGCAGCTCTTGTTACAGAGAGTAGTGTACCTTGTCACACCAAACAGACGCTGATTATTTCTGCTGTAAACTAGCTCACGTGTTTCTAAAATTATTTATCATGCTCAGAATAGAAAAAAAATGTGCTAGTAACCTTTACTACCTTAATGCATAATATTTTTTACTATGTTTATAATTGGTGCTGCTACAAGTTTTTCACTATCCAGAAATAAAGTTTAATTTTGTAATATTTTTCTTTACCTTCAGCTTCCGCGGGTGCTGACCCCGGCATTTTGTTTGTGGAACACGTTTCCTAGGCGTTCAAGACGTCCACAGTGGTCACCCTGGGACAAATCTCCACTGAACATGTTTAAATACATCAGATAATTTGTTTCCTAAATATACCATACTGTTTCTTCTACAATACATCAAGTGACCTGTCACATTTGAAAAGGAATTCTCTATTGTGCTTCTGGCTGAGTAAAATACTATTTTCAGTGATTTTTTTATATATATTTTTCTAGAAGTTTACATTTTCATTTATTTTTCTTTTTTGTTTTTTTCCTGTCAATTTTATATTATACACGAATATACACACAATTTATGTTGATTTTTTTTCTTTTCTACACTTCTCGAGTATCTATTGCATAATGGAATACTGTGCGTTGCTAACGAAAAAATATTACTGCTACTTAAATATAGAATTTTGAAAATGTAAATATTTTTGTCGTTTTATTATGATGTTCCTTGTACCTTTATTTCCTGTGTCCAACGTTCAATTGATTTGATAAAAAAACTTATATTCGGTGTCATTTCATATAAATTTACAATTAAATTTCAAGATTTTTTCAAAATCCGTTTAATATTGGACAGGTGAAATGACTACTTCGGTAAGATTCTATATATCAATATTGCGTGCACATTATTTCACTATACATGTACTTTCATTATACATGTACTTTACACTTTACATGTTCTTTACACTTTATATGTGTTTACATTGTACATGAACTTTACATTATACGTGTACTTTACATTATACATGTACTTTACATTATACATGTACACGAACTTTACATTATACATGTACTTTACATTAAACATGTACTTTACACTTTACATGTACTTTTCACTTTACATGTACTTTACATTATTTATGTACCTTACATTATACATGTACTTTACATTGTATATGTACCTTACATTATACATGTACTTTACATTTATACTTAAAATGATGTATCTCTGAAAAGATCTCATGGAAATATTTATATTTACACTTTATTTACACTTTTTGCCTAATCTTTGTTAAAATACTATGTTAATTTATGTTGTTTACAAATGGTTGACTATGAAACATGAGATTAGAAATTAGAGTGAATTGTTCATATTTCTTACCGTTGTCTCTTGTTGTTTTGTATTTAAAATGAATGTAAATATGGTAAAACCATTAGCATAACTTCACTTTCCGAATAAAAATGCAAAGATTTCACATATCATGTATGTTTGTACAATGGCCAGTACATGTCCATTTAAATTATTATGTTTTCTATCAACAGAAAAACACCATTACCAGTTTGTTTTGCTATCAAGGCAAAACAAAAGTTGGAATGATAGAAGAAAAAAGCATTGTTATATGCTGCATGGTATAGCTCTCTGGATAGCTGTTATCAGTGGCGCTGTAACGCATACAGCTATAGTTGTTAAGTCAACACAACATCCATCCATTAATGCCTTGCTTAAGGCCTCAACAGACGGTAGGATTTTGAAGTACAACACCAATTAAAACTAAGATGTACAGACAAATCTTAATGTGTGAAGGCTACTATTTCTTGATTTCGGAAACCTTATGTCGAGATGTATGGGATAGGACATGTTCTATTTTGAAAATCTTGTCGTACCGATTTTTACAGACCTCCCACAATGACAAGTAACAGATAAGCAAATTATCTCCTGATAATGGATGTAATGAATGAAATTCCAGAACAATTAGGGCTAAAAGGTAAACATAGTAGTAAGATGCGTAAAAATGATGTTGAAAAACTCTTCAGGAGACCCAAAGTTAAAATGTGTTGTGTTCGAATCCCAAATTATTCCGAAAATGATTATGTCACCTTATTGAGTTGTTCTCTAATTACATGAATTTGGGGAGGGGAGGTAGTTTGTAGGCGGCCACATAGCTTAGTCAGTAGAGCCGCAGTACGGTATTCCGAGGGTCCCAGGTTTGAGTCTCGGTCAGGCTTCACATTAAAAAAAATATATATATATTTTTTTTAATGGAGGTGTTTCAATCATTACTCATGGCGAAATAGTATTAAGTGAGTGAAGTATGTAAAGGATCAATGTAAAGGGATCCTTTTCAGGGGAAACCTCAGAGGATTCTTACAGTATAGAATTACCGTCTGAATGCAAGTGTTGTATAGCTTTGAAAAGTGTACATCTTATCTCTAATTAGTGCTTAGACGAATAAATTTCCCCGTCATGTAGATGGTTATAAATAACGTTGTCATCTTACATGATCATAATTATCAGGAAAAAAAAATCACAATAATCATCACCCGAAAGTCACCAATTACATCAAAATTATAATTGTCATTTAAATTATCATTATCTTCATTTTCGTGAAAAATAATCATCATTATCAAAATCATTTGTATCATCACCTTTATCATCATAATCATCAAATTGTTATAATCTCCATCATAATCAAGACAATAATCATCACATCTTTCATCAAATCTATCATTAGTCATCAAAATAATTACAATCATCACATCCATCAAAATTTTTATCATCACTTCCATCATTATTGTCATCACTAAATTGCACTAAGTCCGTAATCCGTTATAATACTATATCTTTAATGTTAAAGTTAAGGATGAGAAGTAAGACCGATCATATTTAAAGTGTGTATATTTAACTTACGACAAGCAGTTCGTTATGCGGCTTTAATGATGACAGCGGAATCCCTGAAAAAAACAAGAGTGTGCCAATACCAGTGATAGAATAGCGGCATAGTAAACGAATAAACGTTTTATTGGGTATGAACCATTGATGGATGCACAAAACTTGAGTTTTGATGAAAGTGATGCGCAAGCTATCGTCTTTACCCTCCATAACTTGCACATACTAGGCCATTTTGTCATTCATTTTAATCTATACAAAAGTATCTTCAAGAACAAAAGATTCAGTATTTGACCTATATAATACACCTTATCTTACATCTGTTATCATATACGTCTACAGAGGTATCTTATTTACGTCTTGTTCATTCTACTTTTGAAAATTAAGGTAACAGTTCCTTTTTTCATTAGAATTTTTTACATAACTATATATAATATATAACTTTAATTCTTTTTATTTGTTTTAATATTGTTTTGATCAAATATTAATAAACTGTTAATATGTCTAGTGAGTTACAACATGACTTCTGTGACAGTTCAGATGACCGTTATATCACTGTTCCACAGTTTGTTGCTGGTATATGTAGAGAAGTTGCCTCCAATTTGCAGAGAACCGTCATAAGTATGCAATATTAGGTCAAATAAGGTCAAATCGTTGAAACCGTTTGTTGAATCAAACACACATACCTATCAAACATTAGCATTTTTCTGTTCGACTTTTTTTTAGAATCAGATAATCTACTCGGCATGTTTTAACTTAAAACATAAAAAAGATTAAGTATATTTACAGAATACTAGCAAGTCAGTTCTAATATAAACTACAAGAATGGTCAAGATACTGCTGTTATTTATTGCTCTCGCTGTCATCGTGGGTAATTATTATTGTATTATTCAACAACATATTCAGTCATATTACACAACAACAACAAAAATAGTGATTAAAGATTTTATAATTTTAGTTCGTTATAAAATTAATAAAATAATAACAAAATAGGTTCGATACTCCCTTTTGAATGTTTGTTTACAAATACCTTGTCATCAATTAACAACGGATATATTCTAGATTGAAAAAATATATAATCATAAAAGCTACTATAGAAATTAAGATAACTATAATGTTATGTAACTGTAATGTTTCTTTGACAATTTTGTAATTTCTTGTTATATTATATATAGCTACATACTTATATAACTAGTATCTAAGTTTAAAGCGGATGTGGTTTATATATTTCATACAGTTGAGGGGTACCGATATAAAAAAGTGATTATAGGTTTATCCATTCCGCGATTATTTTCATTTCCGTTTTTATCAGCTGAGGCCGTCGACCCTGTTGATCATTCAAAGGATCCGTCATTTTATCGTTGTCCATTCCGGATGTTTGATTCCGGGTTACCTGTTACGTTGGAGACTGGAGAAGTACAGTATTGTGATGTGGAGGGCGTGGCATGTCCTAAATGGCATTTTTGTAGCGCTGGTTACGAGGACGGCCGTTCAGTTTGTTGTCATATCTTAGGTAAACTAAATATGTTTCTCTTATCAATTTATTAACATGTTTATATCACGTAAAGACCTTGACCTTTGTAAATCTAAAATAAGCATAATTTATTATCATAACCAAGTATGTCTCAGCGTGATTTAAGTTACTTGTTGTTTTTTTATAATCCTTGATATAAAAATATTACAATAACATTTCTTTTGCGCGGCTGAATATCAATGTTATTCTTGTGCATACACATCTTTGTTATACTCATACGCTCCACGTCTATTTTCTCCACGTCTATATTTTACTTACTCTTGACTAGACATCTATGTGATACTCACACATGACTGTACATTTACGTCGTATGTTATACTCACACGTGACTGTACATCTATGTAATACTCACCGAAACTACATCTTTGTTATACTGAACGTGACAATACATCTATGTTAGACTGAAATAATGTTTTGAAAAGGCGTAAAATGAAACAAACAAACAAAAATATACTCACTGTTACTGTACATCTATGTTATACTCACCGAGACTACATCTATAATATACTTACACGTGACTGTACATCTATATTATACTCACACGTGACTGTACATCTATATTATACTCAGACGTGACTGTACATCTGTATTATACTTACACATGACTGTACATCTATATTATACTTACACGTGACTGTACATCTATATTATACTTACACGTGACTGTACATCTATATTATACTCACACGTGACTGTACATCTATAATATACTCACACATGCCTGTACATCTATATTATACTTACACGTGACTGTACATCTATGTTATACTTACACGTGACTGTACATCTATAATATACTCACACATGACTGTACATCTATGTTATGCTCAACGTGACTACATCTATGTATACTCACCTATACTACATTTATGTTATACTCACCGAGACTCCATCTATGTTACACTCACACGTGACTGTACATCTATGTTATACTCAAACGTGACTGTACATCTATGTTATACTTACACATGACTGTTCATCTATGTTTTACTTACACCTGACTGTACATCTATATGTTATACTCGCACATGACTGTACATCTATGTTATACTCAACGTGACTGTACATCTATGTTATACTTGCACGTGACTGTACATCTATGTTATACTTACACGTGACTGTTCATCTATGTTATACTTACACGTAACTGTTCATTTATGTTATACTCAACGTGACTGTACATCTATGTTATACTTACACGTGACTGTACGTCTATGTTATACTTGCACGTGACTGTACATCTATGTTATACTTACACGTGACTGTACATCTATATTATACTCACACGTGACTGTACATCTATAATATACTCACACATGACTGTACATCTATATTATACTTACACGTGACTGTACATCTATGTTATACTTACACGTGACTGTACATCTATAATATACTCACACATGACTGTACATCTATGTTATACTCAACGTGACTACATCTATGTATACTCACCTATACTACATTTATGTTATACTCACCGAGACTCCATCTATGTTACAC